GCAGGGGGCAGTGCCTGGGCCGGCTGAGGGGGCCGTGAGCCTAGCTCATGGGGGGCAGGGCCTAGGCCGTCGGGGGGCGGGGGCAGGGCCTGGGCCAGCTGGGGGGGCTGTGAGCCCATCTCATGGGGGAGCAGGGCTTGGGCCGGCTGGAGGGGCAGGGCCTGGACTGGCTGGGGGAGGCCGTGAGCCCGGGCCACAGGGGGCAGGGCCTCCGCAGCGCAGCGCTGTGGGGTTTGGGGTTTTCGCTTTGTTGTCTGCGAGGCAGGAAGTTGGAGGGGGGATGGGGGGGGGTGAGCGCCCAGGTCTCTCAAGTGCATGAGAAAGTGTCTGTCCCCCCACCCCTCCAACCCCTGGCTCTGCTCCCACAACAAAGGCAGCGACGCCAGCGCGGGTTCGGTACATGAAAGAGGCGGCCCCGCCAGAGAGCGCTGGGGGGAGCGGGGTGCTCCGGACTGGGGGTTGACTGGGAGCCAGCGCAGGGATCTCCTCCCTCCAGTGCATCCTAAGCCCCCTCCCCAGTACCTCCCCCCCAGGAGAGCTCCCCTCAAACTCCTGTGTGCAGAGGAGAGCGCTCAGTGCAGCATTGCACATACGGAGCAAGCACCGGGCCCCGCTCCCCTCCCAGTGCCAGGGAGAGAACCCAGGAGTCCTGGCTCCCAGCCCACCCCCCCCACCCCACCCCCCCGCACTCTAACCACTAGACCCCACTCCCCTCCCAGGGCTAGGGAGAGAACCCAGGAGTCTGGGCCCCTGCACAGACGCTTTTTAAAAGATGCACTGAGCTACTCTTCTCCTCCCACAGTCCCCGTGAATTTGATCCAAGGTTTCCAGGTGCCCAGATGTTTTAATGAGACCCCTGATTTTTTGGGGGGGAGAGGGGAGCTTGGCGCTTCCTGGACACAGAGCCTCTTTGGGGTGTCAGGCACCGGCACCCCAAAAGCACTAGCCCCTTTTCAGAAGCAGTGGCCAAAGGTGCCCCCCAGATAGGGCAGGGGACAGGGCAGAAGGGAGTGAGATGGGGCCGTTCCAGGGCAAAGCTGTAATGGGCGCTGCACTTTATAGGGACACTGGTGGCCAGCTCCACCCGCACCCTATGCCTGGGTTTGTGGGGGCACCTCCTGCCCCTCTGCTGTTCTCGCAGGGACACTCTACAGAGGCCGAGGGATCTGGCCAAGTTCGGATGGACTCTTCCAGTCCCATCAAACTGCTTCTAACTCACTGCAGCAGGGTGGCCCTCCTTGGCCGGCTGAAAACCCAGAGGCCTCCACTGAGATCAGGGCCCCCCACCCTGCCGATTGTGCCAGGTGCTGCACAGACCCCGACCAAGATCAGGCCCTCCCCCTCCAATTGTGCCGGGTGCTGCCCAGATCCCGACTGAGATCAGGGCTCCATTCTGCCGGGTGCTGCCCAGACCCCAACCGAGATCAGGTCCCTGCTATGCCAGGCGCTGCAAAGACCCTGACCAAGATCAGGGCCCCATTTTGCCAGGTGCTGCACAGACCCCGACCAAGATCAGGGCCTCCCCCTCTCCCCCTCCAATTGTGCCAGGCGCTGCACAGACTCCGACCGAGATCAGGGCCCCCCCATTGTGCCAGGCACTGCAGATATATAGCAAGCGATTCCCTCCACTGAAGAGCTTACAATTCAGATCGACAACGTAGACAGAAAAGAGGGTTATGCACTCCATGAGGAAACTGAGGCTCCGACGGCCTGGGTGACATCCCAAAGGTCCCACAGGAACTCTGTGGCAAAGCTGGGAATCGGGCCCAGGTGGGGTGAGTCCCAAACTCACGTTCTGGTTATTATTAATTAAAAAAATAAAACAACCCCCCAAAGAACCAAAGCCCCTCTTCCCCCCCAACTCAGACACTTGCAAAACCATTGGGAGCAAAACATGCGTGTCCCATCCTCTGCAGAGACTGCCAGGCGAAAACAGGGCAGGGCTGGGGCACCCAGGCCTATTTCCAGTGTCGAAGCAACAAGGACCCCCCAAATACCAGCTCCAGTCACCACCAGAAAGTGCCAGGGAAAGAGGGCAGCGCCCCTCATTCCCCCCGACTCTCCCATGTTCCAGGGCACCGTCAGGAGGGCCAGTCTCCTGGCCACGTGGCCTCTGCACGGCATCTGTCAGCAGTTGTGGCAGCTGACAGCTCGCTAAATTCCTGATTGTTTGGCCTGTCCAGTGCCTGGCACAATGGGGCCCAGGGCTGGGGCTGGGGCTCCCGGGTGAGGGGCTGGGGGACCGGAGAATCCTCCCCATAATGACACTGCAGCTGGGAGAGGGACACTGAACTTGACAATGGCTATTTATCTATTTAACAAAGCTCCCTGGGATGGGGGGTAACCCCAGCGCGGCCCCATGGGAGGGGACAGGAATCGGGGTGCATTTTAAAGTGAGCCTGGTGGCCACGGCCCAGCCAGGCCAGGAGTCAGTGACTGGCAGGCTCAGGGCTAGCGGGGGAGGGCGCCGGCGCAGGGTACATGCCGATGGAGGCCTGAGATCGGAACCCGCGGCTGGCACCTGGGTGATGCGGGGGGCAGGGGCCTCAGCGAGTTAAGTACTCCGGTTGGGTTAATTCCACAGGGGGCCTTGCCCCGATTTCCTCTCCCTGCTGGCAGGACACCCTATGGATTTGCTGATGGCCGGAAGCCAGGGGGCACAGGGCAACTGGGCTAGGGGATGGGGAAGGTGATGGGGGGTAGAGACCATCCGCAGGGACCTAGATGCTGTGAAAACATAAGGGGCTGGCTCAGGGGGCAGGGAATAGAGCAGGGGCCTGTCCCCTCTAGGGGGTACTGGCCCCGATTCAGCCGCGGGGCGGGGGACTGTCTAGCTTAGGGGGTGCGGAATGGGATCCGGCCCAGTGCAGACCGGGGATGCAAACCCCTCCATCGGTGGCACAACCCACAAGCAGCTGCAGACCTGGGAGAAATGAGTTGCCTTGTTCTCAGTTCCCTCAGCAGCTGGGACTGAGCGGGGACCAGCCAGGGGGTCTCCCTGGGGTACGGCGGCAGGGGGCCAGCAGCTCGCACTGTTGCTGTCCCTGGTGCCCTGGTTCCCCCTCCCCCCCGGGGCCCAGAGGGGCTGCCCCCGTTGGAAAGGGTTACGCACGCCGCGGTGGGGAGGGCGGCGAGCGTGGGACATCCTGTGCCGTGACATGAGGAAACAGACGTGCACAGAACCTAGAGAGGAGGGAAGAGAAAATGCAAGGTGCGGTGGAAACGGGCAGCCGCCTCCCTGAGAGATTGTCCCCAGGATCCTCCCCCGCCCCCTCCCAGAGCTAAGACCCTGCCACTCACCCCGCCCGGGGGCA